TTCCTTTATTTTTCTTTCTCTTTTTTTTTTATTATCATTCCTTTTTCAGTGGTGGTCGAATCTTATAGAGATTGCCTACGTATCATGACCCCGCATAAATCAGACCTTGCGTAGTTCGGCAAAATAAGAAATAAACAATAATAAATATTTTTTTTCAATTTTCATATTAAAACAAACTGGGTTTCAAAGGTTTGAAGATGACCTACAAACTCGAAAATCAAACAACCCACATATTCTAATCAAAAGATTTACAAACTCCAAAAACAAATGGCCAGCTTCCTTTCTCCGTTTGACAAATGCAACCGAACGGTTATTTTTGCAAATGTGGCCCCATCCAAATTTCACATGAATTTTGAGGCTAGGGAGGATTATTTTATGACACTTTACAAACTTGTCCGTTCTTTTACGAAAATAGCCTTTCGACAACTGAAAGATACTCTAAGGCTATTTCGGCAAGAACGGTTTAAGACACTACTGATGTTGGCTCGGCTTATCTTGACTAAAAATCCAAACAGTATTCACCTGACTGCTGACTCTTTTTTTAAAAAAAAAATTAAAATAAAAGACCTGGTGTTGCAAACACAGCCTTTCAGCATCTCGGGGACAAAGATTTTAAGGATGCGTTAGCTAACCGGCCAAAATCCTAAAAATAACCCAAGGTGGCTGTTTATACAAAGTCAGCCTTCCGGCGTCCCTTTCGGGAACATTCGGCTATTTTTGACAAAAACAGCATCGCCCGACTTATTTGTGACTCTTTTTTATTATTTTTCAAAATAGAAGACCCGATATTGCAAACATGGCCTTTCAGCGTCTCGGGGACGAAGATTTTTAAGGCTGTGTGGGTCAACTGGACCAAATCTAAAAAATGACCCAAAGGTGGCTGTTTATGCAAAGTCAGCCTTCCGGCGTCCCTTTCGGGAACATTCGGCTATGTTTTGATAAAACAGCGTCACCTGACTTCTTTATGATGAAATTAAAATTTGACATATTTTTTGGCTATTTTAGCAAAAGGGGAGGTTGGAACCGATGAGAGTTGCCTACGTATCTCACATCCGGTGAGAATCAAACCTGCGTAGTTCGGGCAAATAAACTAACTAATTTTGAAAACAAACATATCTTCCCTTTTTTTTAGCAAAAGAAACTATTTTTCCTTTCCGTTTTTTTGAAAACAAAGCAAACTAAAATAAAGGACTCTTTCTTACACACTTTCTGCTTTTTTGGGTAAACAAACAATTTTAAAAGTAAAATATTCTTTTTTTTTAAAATTTTGGCAGAGTTCCGACAGTACTTGGACACTGGGTTTTTCTAAAACAATCAATTAACTCCCTAACTGTTATTTCTCTCTTTTTCTCCATTTTTTTTTCAATTTTCCAACGTTCTCGAGATGCAAAACCGGTCAACATGTGGGTTCGGAACAAATAAATGCACAGCCCANAGATTAAAAGTATGTTCTTATATCCTCTTTAGTTCTGAAATTTTTTATCTCCCCCAAAATTCTTCTTCCCCTAAGTGTCAAATGAGTCATCTTTTATATCGAAAGCAAGACTCTTCCCTTCTTCTTTTTACCTAATTCATTTTTACTTTTTAAACTATTATTACTACCCCTTTTATCTCTTTTACTTTTTAACCCAATATTCTTTTACTATATGCACCTTTTAACTTTTATTATTACCTACACTATTTCTAATGTCTACTTTAGTAAAGTAGTCACATGGGCCCCCTATGTTCCCTCTTTTGAATGGTCAAAAGAAGACATCATTATTAACCTTTTTCTTTTTGCTTTTATCATTATGTCTTGTCCCCCACCATAATTAAATAATATGCAATTGGTTAATTCCCGTTTTACCCCTAAAACTACTGTTACTGCCCTGATTCAAAATCTGTTCAAACTTCAAAATTATCTAAGAACTTAAAATTAAATTACCAGCTATAACCAATCCTTAATCCAGTTCAATCAACAAATTCAAACTTAAACGATGAACAACAAAGCAACAATCAGAATTATTTTGACTGAACGATATTTTTAACAACACATATATTTTCAGATCCAATAATATTAACAAATTGGACGTAACAAATAAGTAGATTTGAATTTCTAAATTCAATAATCATTTGAACTTTAAACTANAGTAAGCACATCCCCGGAGGTGAAGAGAGAAGGGTGTCGGCACAGTTTATATACAATTCAGATAATATCAAAGCGGTAACATTTAGCACATTCAACATAAAACATGTAGGAAAATCAGATACAATCAAATACATCAATTTATTTAAGCTCGAATTCTGAACCCTGAACCAGAGATTCTGGGTTGTTATCCCCAGTAGAGTCGCCAGAGCTGTCACACCTCTTTTTTCCGGCACCCGCAAGAGTACAAGGAGTTTTTCCAATTAAAGGACAATCGAAACGANCAACTTGAATCTAACAACATTAACAATTTCTAAAAAATACATAAAAACACATGAAACAAACTGAAGAACTAATTAATTAAATTTCAATTTGAATCTAATAACATTAAAATTAAACTAACAATTTCTTTTAAAAAATAAATAAAAACACATGAAACAAACTGAAACCAATTAACAAAACGATAAACACGAACAAAACAAGAATAAAACATTTACCGATTTTAGATCTGAGAACATCAAAACAAAACTACTGACAGAAATGAAACTTAAACCCACTAACCGGATCGGAACGACGACGAACTCGAATGAAAACAAAACTCGAACCAAGACTGCCAACGACCTAATGGATCTTGACTTCAACGACAAACCCACCTTCCTTTTAACCTTGACGAACTCAAAACGACAAACGACGAGCTCGACGAATTGAAACTGAAGATCGACGAGCAGCAGTTGTTTGTAGTTGAGCAGTGGCAGCCATGGATGTTGGACGAAGCAGCAGCATCGAGCAGCAACAACATGGACGAAACCATGGCAGCAGCAACGCGACGGAGCAGCAGCGGGCAGCAGCGACGTGAATTGGTATCATGGTCGTCGAGCAGCAGCAGCCATGGTGAGCTGCCTGAAGCTGCGACTGGAACTGCGACTGGAGAGGAAGAAGCACCAGCGATGGTGGACGCAGTAGTTGTTGTTGCTGCGTCGCCAAGCTGGAGGTCGTTTGGGACGTGAACGCTTGGGTTTTGCTGGAGGTCGACGAGGCAGCTGGGGAGGTGAAGGAACGCAGTCATGGGGGTTTCGTTTGAAGCTAGAGCTTGGAGGAGTAGAAGAAGAAGAAGACGTAGCAAGGGCAGCCATGAGAGGAAAGTTTTGAAGCTAGAGCTTGGAGGAGTAGAAGAAGAAGAAGAAAAGGGGAGGGGGCAGGTAGTTTAGTTTTTGTTTAAGTTAGGGTTTTCTAAATAAAAAAAACTAAATAATAAAAAAAATAAATGGGAAGATAGGGACGGGTCGTTGGGCTATGGGGCAGATCGGGTTGATCCGGTTTGAAATGGACCGGGTCGTAGGGGAAGGTTGGGTATCTTTGGGCTTGTGATTTAAATTGAAGAAAAGGCCCAATCCGGTCTTCTTCTATTTTATTTTTTACTTATTAATAAAACTAAAATGTTAAAATTAAATTATAAAAACCCAAAATTATCTGGAAATACTAATTAACTCTTAATAACAATTAACACACAATTAAATAGTAATTAACGATAAAAATCACACAATTTGGACGTCAAATGCTAAAAATGCAAAATACATATTTTTATGATTTTTTTTTCATTTTGTAAAACAAACTTAATTACTCCTAACTGTAGAATTAAATATTAAATGCAAATGCGACATATTTTTATATTTTTTATTAATTTAACAAATAAACATGCATAGACAAAATATAAATAATTATCCAAAAATGCCACGAAAATTCAAAAAAATTGCACACAAAGGAAAATTGTTTTATTTGAATTTTTTGGGAGTAATTCTCATATAGGGCAAAAATCACGTGCTCACAGGCACCAAAACATATGAAAATCACAATGAACTCAAGAACTTCTAAAAACACAACCACGCGTCTGATTCCTATTAAATCAACTCGGAATGACGTAAACTTTGCAGATAAGGTCTAAATGAGAAAACAGACCTATTCCAAGTCCCACAACTAAATTCCGAACCCGATAGCCATAAAGTCAAACCATGATTAAACCTAAGAAAATTCTAAACCTTCAAATTACCAACGCCAAAAAAGTGCCAAATGAACCTAGGAGCCTCCGAATACAATTTCGGGCATATGCCTAAGTCCAAAATCACCATCCGGATCTATTAGAATCACAAAAACTCCAACCTGAGATAAAATACGCAAAAGTCAAACTTGGTCAACTCTTCCAACTTAAAATTTCTAAAATGAGAATTATTATTTCAATCAAATCCCGAATCGCCCGAAAATCGAAATTGACCATACACAAGTCACAACACATTCTATGAAGCTACTCTAGATCTCAAACCACCGAACGAGACGCAAAAGTTCAAAACGACAGGTCGGATCGTTACAAAAAGTGGACAACCCAGCTAATTGTTATGTAATTATTTCGAGGGGAAAAATCAGAAATAACCCGATTTATAATTGGTAATTGAAAAATAGCCACATTTTCAAAAATAATTTAGATTTAGTCACTTTTTCATATAAAGATAAAATCTAAACAAAAATATCCTAAAAAATCCGAAACAATTTCAGCATAATGTGCTGGAATTTCATAATGTACCGGAGTTCCAACATAATATGCTGAAAGTTTATGCGCATGAATTTTATAATCCAATATATTATGCCGAAATTTTGTGTTTCACTGGAATTTCATAATATGCTAGAGTTGCAACATAATATGTTGAAACTTTATACATAAAAGCTCCATAGTCTAGCATATTATGTTAAATTTTTTTGTGTTTCAGCTAAAATAATGACTATTGTTTATTAACTTTGCAAATGAACTATTTCTCAATTACCAGTTCAAAAACCGGCGAGGTTGTGCTATTTTCACTTATTGGGATGGACAAGTACCCGTCAATAATAAGAGGCGCCAATCAGATTCAGGTCTTGGACCCAGTCGGCTAATCTCTTCTAGGGGCGTTTTGGTCGTCTTCTAGGGTTTTAACATCACATAGCCGTACTTCCAAGCTCCATCCTCACGAAACTCATTAATATAGTCAAAAAGGTCAAAATAATACCCTCAGAATCTCTCCCCTATGTTCTTTATATGCTGCATTTTGCATTTCTTGGTATTATATACTGGAAATGTTATGGATATGGTTCTCCACTGGAAGAATTGCTTCACATCGAATGCTCAAAATGAAATCTTTAGCCTCATTCCAATGTCTATGCTCACAAATTTAATACTTTGCTCATGTCCCACAAGGTTCTTTTCCTCTAGACATTACCAGAAGTTTCCAGATAGTTCCATTGAATGTTTTTCTGATGACCCACAAAGTTATTTTTCCTCAAGAATCATTCTTACCCCTAGAATTGTACATAAAACTATATCAAATTGTCGTTCTGACATTCTTGCATTTTTGTTTTTCTTATGGTGTGCAAAACAACATAAGTACTTTCATGACAGGGCCACTTTGACCCATATGATTAGTATTGTTTCTCGGTTGACGCAGAGGTTAGAACAGTGAAAGGGATAGTTAAGGAATTGGAAGAGGTTGGTTGTGTAATAAAGCTACAAACTTTGATGTTTTTGTTGAGAATTTATTGGTTTGGTGGAATGTATGATAGGGTTTTCGAGATGTTTGAGGAAATATTGGGTTGTGGTTCTACTCCAAATACTTTCTCTAGGAACATCGTAATGGATGTATTGTTCAAGATTGAGCGTGTCGAAGTGGCACTTAGAGTTTTGAAAGAAACCCAGGTTCCAAATTTTTTAACTTATAGCATTGATGTGTGCAACTTGTGTAAGCTCAATGATTTGGTTAATCTTCAGGATGTGCTTAATATTATGTTGAGGAAAAGCTATTATCCTATCGAGGAGACATTTTCTGTGATTTGAGTTGTTACTGTAAAGGAGGTCTAATAACAGAGGCAAAACAAATATTAGGTCTAATGATAGTTTTCGGTGTTCCTGTATCAGATAGAGTTTGGGGTATATTAATAGATGGATACTGTAAAGCTGGCAACATGGATGCTGCAACTTGCTTGGGAAGATGGTAGAGAGTAGGTATTCGCCAAATGTTGTAACTTGGACGTTGTTGATCAAGGGATTTTTTGAGTCCCAGATGCCAAGCAAGGCATTTGGGATCTTGGATACCATGGAATCAAGAGGATGCTTCCCTGATTTGGTTCTTTGTAACGTGTTAATAGATAGCCTCTCTAAAATGGGGAGGTATGAAGATGCAATCAATGCTTTCTTCCTTTTGCGGGAGCAAGGACTAACACCCGATTCTTATACTCTTTATTCTTTGATTACAACTGTCTATCTCTCTAAGCAATATGTCGAATTACCTCTGCTCATAACTGGCTTCGAGATTCAACCTGATTTAGTTGCATGTAACTCTTTCCTTAGCTATTTCTGCAAAGCTGGTTATCCTGCTGTGCTATTGAATTTTACAATGATATGATAGATAGAGGTTTCATAGCAGATAAGTATACCTTTTGCCAGATTACTGACTGGATTATGCAGCTCAGGTAGGATAGGAGAGGCAGTCAAGGTGTACCGTGGACTTGTTAGAAGTCACGTTGGGCTTGATTCTCATATAATTACTATGATAATAAATGGGCTAATAAAATCTGGTAAGTTTTACAAAGCTGTTAGCTTAATCAAGAAAGCTGCTTCAGAGAAGTCCCAACTAGATGATGTTTCTTACACTATTCCCATTAGTGGACTACTTACTGGTGGTCAAGTTGGAGAAGCATATGCCTTGTTCCGCCAAATGAAGGAGGTTGGTCTAGCACCAACTAAACAGACCTATAATCAGATTCTCTCAGGTTTTTGTAAAAGAAGTGATGTTTGAATGGTTAAAGAGATCCTACTTGAAATGGTTGATGCTAGTATTGAAGTTGACCTTTTTAATCTGAGGTTGATGAAAAATCTCCTTTATAGATCCCACCGCCATTCTGCTTCACTCTTAACTCTATTAACTAACATTTCAAATTTCGGAATCCTTCCAAGGGAAGCATACAATGAAATGATCAATGAGCTGGTTCATCATATAAACATCAGAAATGTGCATGCGGGCACGTGTAATAACCTTGATGTTGGCACATCTAGCTCAGATGAAACCCAGGAGTTGGCTGTTGCAATCGGTTGAGATGACTTGATTTGGCAGTTTATTCTATGTATAGCAAAGTGCACTTCTTCAGTTCATCAAGAATCAGAGCTTACTCTCTCGGAATATCTAAGATGATGAGTGATCTAAGAATGAGGATTCCATAAAGGTACCGCCTAAACTCCATCGAAATGATAGACATGTTCAAATGGACTGTTGTTCTGTCAGGTTGCTGGTTTTAGCGTTTCCTTTACAGTTATTGTCCCTTTTCCCCCATTTTCTGGTTCACTCAATTTGGTTCTAAAGGGGTGGTCACTGTTTATAGATTTGAAATGAAGTGGGGAGGAGAGGCGGTTTCCGGGGGATTATGTTCTGTGTGGGTAACAATTGCAATTCTTACAAATATATAATTAACCTCAAGTTTTGGAGATTTTTCTTCTACTTTTGAACTGTAATTTGGTTTTTCTATCCTTATTGATCTGAGATGAAATAGGTTGCTAAACTCCTACAATATCGGTATCTCCCTTTTGATGTGTGATACAGAGCATATACTTTGGTTGTTATAACAATAACAACATACCCAATATTTTCCCACACTGTGGGGTCTGGGAGGGTAGTGTGTACGCAGACCTTACCCCTACCTTGTGAGAATAGAGAAGTTGTTTCCAATAGATCCTCGGCTATTTTGGTTGTTATAGAGATCCATAAATAAAGAAGGCTTTAAAAGGAGCTTATAAGCCAAAATTTTTGTGAATATAGACTCTTGGAAGTTTGAACTCACGACACTACACTATGTTGTCTCACTGATCCTGTTGATTTGTCTGTTGATTGATTTTTTATGAGCTAGTGTTTTAATCATAAGTGTTGATACGAGGAATAAGATCATATATGAGCTTAGCACTTCACATTTGCAGTAGAAGTATTGAAAGAAATGCAAAAGGGACCTAGAAGGAATCTAAACTTTGGTTGTTGTTTGGGCTGTATATTGTGTCATTACTACATTGAAAAAGATCAATATGTAAAAATTTGAAACTTCATAGATCAAATAAACTTCATTTGGGAAATTCTTTCTTGTTAGGATTCCATCTAACTGTCTGTGAAGTGATTTCAACTTTAATATTTACCGTTGACATGATTTGCAGTGCCAGGTATCTGGTGAAAGCACCAGGGATATGACTTACGAGTGTAAAGCTGGATTAGGTCACTAGGCGGATGCTTCTTTTGTCTTCCTGGTAAGTGCCTAAAAGAATAAACTAATTTTTTTGAGCTATATATGCTTTCTGGTGCTGGCGTAGCAATGTCATTTTTTCTTTACTGGCTGTAGGAGGAGGATATCGAACCATGTAAGAGTTGCTGGAAGTGATATTACAGGAACATAAATCCACAAAATATGGTATGTATAGTGTTACCTCCATATACCATGATTGATTTGCAAAGATTTTGATTAACTCACTCTCTCGTGCAGGTTAGTAAAGCTAATTGCTGAGTGATACTATAATACCTTACTTGCTTGTTATTTGTCAAATGGTGTTAAAGAAGATTTCATGTAGCCTGTTGCTCGGTCTGATTGTTCTTGCTGCTCTAATGAGGTACCAAATTAACCTAACTAAATGCTTTTGTCTGTTATGTTTCTATAATGCTTGGACCATCAGTGTGTGGTTGGTGACTGTGAGATGTTGCAGAAGCAACATATCAAGTTGCTTTCTTTTGTGTGATTATCACTGGGTGGAGCCTGAACTAGATCTTCAGTGGAGAAGCCTTTGACTGACTTAAGGAATATAGAAAATTCTGGTTATTTGATAGAAAACTCTAAATGTTTCAGCCACCGATATTGGTAGGCAAACTGAGCTTTTCCATGATTTGCCTATTACAGGCAAAATTCAACATAAATACTTTGCTGCTATATTGAAAATTTATGTAGCTAAAGCAGATGAATAACAAGGCATTTAGGAGGATGGGTATTCGATGTTTTAGAATTTTGAAAATCCAAGAATGAACCAAATAAAGAAAGAAAGAACAACAACAATTACACCTCAGTCCCAAGCAAGTTGGGGTGGGTGATATGAATCCTCATTCCTTTCATTAAGCTCAACTCATATCATCATCATTACCAAAATAAATAAATAAAAAAGAAAAGAAAGAAAAGGCAAAGAAAAACAGAAAAACAGGAAATTAATTAAAAGATAGGTCAAAGAGTGAACGAGAAAAGAAACAAAAACGAAAGAAGAAGAAAAAGAGTACAAAAAACTGGATTTTAATTGAAAGGTAGGGTGTGGAGATTCGATCCATTGACCCGGGGNNNNGGGGGGGGGGGGGCAGAAGGGCATGCACGTAGACCAAGGTGCTCTCCTGAGCATGGGTGGCTGTATAGAAATTTTAGTAAATTTAGCAGAAAACCAGTGCTATACATGGACCAGGGAGGGGAAGGGTGCATGGGTTCATGTGAACCATACCTCTTCAAGTGGATCTGCCTCTGAGCTAAGGTATGTGGTTCAGCTTGACAGAAGAAGAAACTTATTGGTGCTTGTCCCATTTTTTTTTGGTCTCTGCTTCTATAATGTCAGCTTGAACTGGTCATGCCTTTTGGTGGAACATGATTACTGTCATCCAAGTTCCATTTATATATGTGCTCTGTTGCCTAATAATTATTACTTCTATTCATTAGTCATTTTTCTGATGGACTGGACTGTGTATCTTGTTCTTCAAAGTTGCAGCAATACACTCTTCAGAAGACGGCGTTGCAATATGGAGGTACTGGTTTATCCAACCGGGATTGTAGCAGATATAAAACACATGTCCTGCTAGGCCAATCTCCCTAGCATCGTTATTAAAAGCCATCGCTTCACCGCTTAAAGCAATGATGGATTCGAAACGTGGGATTACCACTTCACAGGTGAAGCCATGCACTTCATAGAAATATGTGCTTCAAAGAATGACACACAAACTAATCCCAACGAGAAACGACATGTTCTTTGAATCTTAACTTTGAGGATCTGGATCAATATCAGCATCGAATACTGAAATTAGTTATTGCAATTGTAATTTTGATAAGTATAGTACTAAATCACTTTATGTTTGCTACTTTTTTGTCCTGGATGTGCGCTTCACTTGCCGCTTTTCGCATCAAGCCCTAAGAACCTTGTCGGTTTTTTTTTTGGCATTTGAACTTTTGGATGAGAAATCCACTGTCTCCTCATGTCATTGTTTGCTATTTCTATTTACTACTACTATAATTCCGTGTGCTTTGAATTAAATTAATTAACCTAAAATTGATTCGTGAACTGGTGTATTATCCCTAGCCTTAGTAGTGAAGACACTGCCGCAAAATTCTTATTTCTTTGTCTAAAGTTGGTTTATTGGCTTAATTAGTTAATATAAGAAAATTTAACCAGTTTTATAATGCTTCAAACATAATCCTTGGAAAACCAAAAGAAGTACCGAAGAAAAGGGATGTAGTCTCTCCCTTGGCCTTTGGATAGGAGAAGAAAACATCATTCGCTCAAGTTTTTTGCTTCCTACGTCCTTGCTAGTCAAAAAGGGGCTCTTCGACCAATAAGACATTAGTCGTTATCCGTCCAGGAAAAGTAAGCTACCTTTCTTTGATCCCATCCCTTTCCGGACAGGGAAGATGACACCAACTGCAAAGTTGAATTTCCACAATCTAACATAATACTAATATCTTTTTTTGATATGTATTCTTGCTTAGGAGAAATACATAAACAACTCCTTTAAGTTGTCCACAACAATCAGACGAACACCTTAACTAGGCATATGACAAGACTGGCACTTCTATTTGACACATGTGTGTCTTATGAATACCCGAGTTCAACAAGCCTCATGTGTGAGTTCTCGCGGATGACATGGAAAATTGACAAATTATCAAATGACATGTATTTCTTAATAAATTATAGTAGTTTATATTAAAAAAAATACTTGTAATTCTTTAATTAAAAAATAAAAGGAAAAAAAAAAAACTTTCCTTCCTCCCTCCCAGCAAAATAAAAATAAATAATAGTTGTATTTCTTCTTCCTTTAATACCATAGACGATGGAGCTCCTTTCCACCACTGTAACAAACAAAAATACCACAAAACTATAATCTTTAACAATAATTTCTCTCAAAAGTTCAATTTCTCCTTCCCAATCACTCCCCCCTCTCTCGCAGGTGCAGCCAATACTTTGCGACATTAAAAATCCATCTTTGCTTTGCTTTCGTTACTACTCTTCTTTAATCTCATTGCTGCTCTTCCATTAGTTTGGTTCTTTTTCTTTTTTATTTGTGCAGTGGCCTTATAGTTTATTGCTCTTTGAAGCCCTACCTCAATTATTTGTTTGTATATAAACCTTTCCACCATCGGCTGCCAAATCCCATTTCACTCCCTTTTTCTGATAAAACCAAATCAAAAATCATCCCGACCCGTTTGATTGATATATTTTTATCAGCGAAGAACCAACTGCCAGATCTAATTGGGGTGAAATTGGAAGGTTTTAGCTGGGTTCTTTTTTAGTAGATTTGGGGTCAAAGGGAGATTGAAGAAGTGATAGTGATTCTGTGGTGATGTAAGAGTGGAGATTTATTTATGTTTATTTAACAGTTGTTATTGATTGTGATGGTGATGAAATTTGTGTTCTTGATGTTCATTTTTTTCTAGAATGAAGGTGGAAGGTGGAGAAAGTTTGGGGCAGAGGTACAAAGGATGGTGAAGGGAAAAATTGGAGAAGAAAGTGGTGTAAGAATTAGGTGGGGTCCATATTGATTTTAGGGAGAAAAAGAAAAGGATAAACCTAATTTGAAAGAGCATCACGCGCTCAGATCTGAGTGCAACACACAAATTTTGCCATGTCAGCGTAAGGGGTTTAAGAGATTAAGTTCTTCCAAATAGAAGTGTCTGTTCGGTGATATGCCAAGTTAAGGTGTTCATCTGATTGTTGTGGAAAACTTAAAGGGGTTATTTATGTATTTCGCCTTTTTCAAATGAATATCAATTCTGTCATGGATTGCACCTGATGGATTATAATAAGTAGCGGAAGCAATCCCAGTATCAAAATCACATGTAATCTAGACAACTAGTATAAACGAAATTTTACGGGTTACCTCTTGAAACGAGAACAAAGATCCTCTATCACGTGAGCCTCCAATTCCACAACAATTCGATGAAATCTCCATCACCCGCACGATCACGATCTCCGAATGTTTTATGGTCTTCTACTGTGTTACCCAAATAATATCCGAAAATAGCAATTTGGTGTGGGCGAAATTTCTAGGAAAACTTGGCTGAAAATTTCGGACACCATGTACTACTTTTTCTAGGTGAAAAACCTTATCTATTTATAGCACAAGCTTTAAGGGTTAAAATCCTTTTCCAAAATCCGTTGGATTTTCTTTTCCACCAAAAAAAGGATTCCTTTGTTTCCTATTATTTGGGCACAATAGGGACCACATAATTTAATTAACAAGGCTCAAATTATGAAATTAATTTTTAATTTTCGAAATTAATATCTACCATAATTAAATTACGAATTATTCTACTAAAAATTCGTAATTGCACTCCTTATTCAATTTCGAAATTCATCAATTAAATCTTATTTAACTCCCCATGTTAAGATTCATATACTAATCAATTAAATTAAATTACTGACGATTTAATTTATTAATTATTTCCTTTAGACTTTCGCTTAACTTATTTAATGTGTCGGATACAAAATTCACCGGCCGGGTTTACACATGAAAACTTATAAGCTTTCATAAAGGTGTATCATTAATCTCTAAACCGAGACATGGATTCCATCAACTAACTATTACTTCGCCAATGTACATTATTATTATTCAATTTACCAGGCATATTGACCCACGAAAGAATCTCGCCTTTTAATAAATCAAAACA